TTAGGTGTGGTTGTTAATAACTGTGTTTGTTGTCATTTTACTGTACATGTTTTTTATCCTTTTTTTCTTAGATAAGTCCCTTTAACATTTCATATAATAAGGGCCTGGTGATGATGAACTCCTTTACGTTGACCTTATCTGAGAAGTACTTTATCTGCCCTTCCATTCCAAATGTGTTTATAAATTTTTTATACACCTTTTCAATCAGTGCTGCGTTCTTGATTCTCCCATATTTACACAATTTTTACTGTATCTTTCTTTTATAGTTAGACACCTAATATTAAAAAAATCAAAACTTCCCAAACAAGCGAATCACTACATATTTTAGTGAAAATTCTGGACAATGACAATAAAATGTGTAATATGTTAACAACGGAATGGAAAGGAAGAGATACATAGAGGCATTAGTTCAAAAGTTGCACTCATTTGTTTTTAATCAATGTATCACTTTGATCTGTTAATTTAAAATAAATTATATTAAAGCATGATATATAATAAATTCATCTTCTATTGCTTCTGAGCAAATCATCACAAACATAGAGGGTTAAAACAGAAACTTGTTAGGTCACAGTTCTGTAGGTCAGAAGTCCAGGTGGTCTTGGCTGGTTTCTCTGCTCCAGATCACACAATGATGAAATAAAAATCATTGATCATCTGGGAGAAAAAGGAGGGTATGAGCAGTAGAGACAGATTAAAAAGGAAACTGGGGAAATGCTGGGGATGATGGTTATGTCCACCATCATAATTGCAGTAGTTTCACAGTGCACACACAGTGTCCAATGTTGTCAAATCACATAGTTATAAATATATGCTTTGTTGTATGTCAATTATTGTGCAAAAAAAGGTGTTTCAGGGTAAGAAATCCAATCATGCATTATGTTATGAATGATATTCTCAGGTAGAAAAGTTCAGCTAGCCAGAGATAATTGCATAAATTGTGGCAGCAGAACCCATAATGAGCAGTGAATCTATGATTATAGAACTGAGACTTAAAACAAATATGGGGATTATGCTAACATATTGTTGTTGATCATACTATTATTCCCAGTTCTTCACACTCCCAGAATCTATTCCTTCTGCAATGTGACTTTGCAGTTGGCTATTTGACTTGCTTTGGCCAATGGAATGAGTGTGGAAAGGACAGTTCAGAGCTACATCTACTTATTCTTTTTGAGTTTCTTTCATCAGTGTGAGAGGAATATCCCTGACCAACCCATGGTTCAAAGAGGATGACTGACAGGAGCAGAGTTGGACCACCTTTCACCTCGAAACCAAATCCATCTGAGCTAAGTCTATATTAACTATCCTTCAGATGCAAGAGAGAGAATTAATGCTTTTTATTTAAACGAATGAGTTGGGGTGGTTTACTATATGGCATGATTGTGGCAATAGCTGTAGGATATATAAAGTATATAAATTCTAATAATATTGAAATGAATAATTAACAAAAGTTGTTTGTGGTGAGGAAAAGTAAGAGATAGGGCCAAGTATGCTACCTTATTTCTACTCATCAAATATATCATATTAAGTGGATGCATCAAATGACAGATATACAATTCTACCTAAAACTACAAAAGTAAATATTCAGAGAGAGTACGATCAACTAACAAATGGGTAGTGGAAGGAAAGGTGGAAGAAAAAGAATTATACTAATTTCATTATTTCTTTCTGGGCATTAAAAGAAATTGTCTGAGCGCGGGCTGCGAACCAAAGTGTCACAGGTTCAATTCCCAGTCAGGGTACATGCATGGGTTGCAGGCCACAGCCCCCAGCAACCGCACATTAATGTTTCTTTCTCTCTCTCTCTTTCTCCCTCCCTTCCCTCTCTAAAAATAAATAAATAAAATCTAAAAAAAAATTGTCTAAAGAAATGGAGATTAAAGGAATTATATGAACATACAGTTACAAAGGGAAGTCACAATACCAAAATAAAAAAATTTTTTTTATTAAGAAACATTAATTTGTGGTTGCGTCTCATGCACCCCCCACTGGGGACCTGGCCCACAATCCAGGCATGTGTCCTGACTGGGAATTGAACCTGTGACCCCTTGGTTTGCAGTCCTGTGCTCAATCCACTGAGCCACACCAGCCAGGGCCCAAAATAAAAATTTTTAAGTTTGAAGATGAAATATGTTATAAAACAAATAGGCCCATAGTGAAAGATATTTTAAGATATTAAATGGACTGAATTATAGAAACAAATGTGTTAAACTACTCTATTAAAAGAAAAAAAATTTCTGGTGTAGCTCAGTGGATTGAGCGTGGGCTGTGAACCAGAGGGTCGCCAGTGCAATTCCCCATCAGGGCACATGCCTGCATTGCGGGCCAGGTCCCCAGTGGGGGCCACATGAGAGGCAACCACACACTGACGTTTCTCTCTTTCTCCCTCCCTTCCCCTCTCTCTAAAAATAAATAAATAAAATCGTTTTTAAAAAATTTTTAAAAAAGAAAAAAATTCTGATTACATCCTAAAGCAAAGACTTACTTTTTGCAGTTATCAAGTGACACATGTAGTAGAAAGTGATTCAGAAAGGCAAAAAATTAAAAGGGTGGGTAAAAGCACATCAGAATGTTGCCACTAAACAAAAACCAATAATAACAATAACAAAACCAACATCATGATTTTAATATCAGACAAGGTTCAGTAAAGGGCAAAATTATGATGACTTAACAGCAACGGACAGTTATATCTGTGCATCAAATAATGAAGCACCAATTATGAAAGAAGATAGAAGAAATAGAAACATATTAGAAGATATTAATTTACCCCTTAGAATCCATCACACATAAAGAGGGGGAAATATAAAAGATATTAATATTATGATAGTTTCAATAGACACATCAAGCTTAATATACCTGGAACATAAAAGCTATATACCTTCTTTTCAAATACTCTTAGACCATTCCCCAAAAGGACCCATATATTAGGCCTCAGAGAAAACCTAAAAAGAATCTGCAAACTAGAAATAGTACAAAAATATCCTCTAACCAGGGAAAAATTCTTAAATATCCAAATAATTAAAGAATGAAATAAGCATCAAATGTAATAAGTTAGGGAAAGATAAGGAGTGATGGCTAATGAATACAGGGTTTCTTTTTTTGGTGGCAAACTGTTCTAAAATTAAATTGTGGTGATGGTTGTATGAGTCTAAATATAATAACAACACCAACTGTGAACTTTAAATGGTTTAATTTTGTAGTATGTGTATTATATCTGAAGTAAGCTGTTGAAAAGAGTTAAGAATAATACCATTAGGAAGAAGCAATTAGGTTTAAGAGTCAATAAAATAGATAAACCATGGGGTATCATAATCAACCAAAAATAGAGGACAAGTAACACAAAATAAGAAATAAAGGTAACATCCTATAGAAACAAGAGTTAACCTTCGTAAAAACACTAGGTCTGTGTGTTTCCTTAGAGGAACAGTTTCTTTAGGGGAACCAAACCCTTAAAAAAAAGTAATTTCAACTTCATTATTTAACACCATAGAAAAGGTAACTTTCTAATAACTTTTAATAAAATGAGTGTAAGATTATACAAAACTGAAAAAAACATTGAGAAACGTTTAGAAGCAACTTTTTGAAGAAGCAACTCTTTAGAGAAAAATAGTATAAGGAGGGATATCATAGTCTGAATGGGAAAACAACTTTGTAAATATATCCTTTAACCACCTCCCCAATTAACCTATTAATTGAATACACTTCTGACAAAAATCTTAAAAGAATTTGCCATGGGATTTGACAAATCAATCCTCAAAAAAAACTTTTTAGTATGAAATTTTTCAAATATATTTAAAAACTGGAAGAAAAGTTTAATGTATTCATCACCTAGCTTTAGTAATTAGCAACACATGGCCAATCTTGGACAAGTAAATTTTTAAGTTCATCTGAAGAGTAATTAAATAGTCATGAAAATGTTCAAAAAGACAAATGAGCAGTCACTTTCTCTAGTAGTTACCTAACACAGCTGTTGTAGAGTCCTGGAATAGACTCACCTTTTTGTTGGAATTTGGAAGGCAATAAAGGTCCCATTTCATCAGTTTGGAAAGGGTGACTTAAAAATTAATAAATACTTTGGGTCAACTGACTAAAGGCTGAAATTAAAAATAAATTTCACATGGCTTAAGGGTCTAAATACAAAAATTAACCTATAAGAAAATTAGAAAAATTTATAAGGAATAGATTCATAATCTCCGTGTGAGGCTATTCTCAAGTCATATAAAAATAATAGTGCTGATTTGATTACGTGAAAGTCTTAAACGTCTACAGAGTAAAACAAAGACAAGAGACAGACTGAGAGAAATAAATCCCACACAAAAATCAGACCAAGAAACTACACAAAGACACAGAAGGCAAGTAGGTGGCTGTTGGGAATGTGCATCCTCTGGGGTCACCCGCATACCGGAACCGGCTGCCCGAGCCGTGCTCCAGAGGTACATTAGGTGATGGAATCTGGGTGATTATTTTCTTCTCTACGTTTTCCTGAAATTTTCCAAAAAAAAATTTTTTACAACGATCGTTTGTAACTAAAACTTTTGAAATTGTCTAACAACTGAAAAGTCTGGCCTGCCTTACTGTCCATATTTTACCAGCTTTATTTGAGGACTATGACAGAGAGGCACTGGAGTCGTTGCTTCCTTTGTCTCACTACCATACCTATTGCAGAAGTGAGTCCTTAGCAATACTAAAAAGGAAATGCTCACTGACGGATACAACAATGTCGTAGGTGTGGGAGACCTGGGTGCCAACACCTGAGAATCCTAGACTTCCTCATTACACGCTTCTCCCAGTCCTCCTTCCAGTATCCGACGCATACCGCCATCCACCCCACCAGGACCAACTATACGCAAGACTTCATTCCTAGCGCGCGCCTCAGCAAGACTCCCGCGTCTCCACGTCAGTAGTCAGCCCGGGAACGCCCCGGACCCGCCCCGTCTCCGGTAGTGTTGTTGTCACGTGGCTGGGGCGGGCCCTGACGTCAGGGGCAGGGGAGGGACTGCGCAGGAGCAGAAAAGGGGGCGGGGGACTCGGCTTGTTGTGTTGCTGTCCCAGAACCTGAGCCAGTCTAGCTGCGGACAGAGCTTCTCCAGCCGCCCGACAATGTCGTCTCATTTACTGGAGCAGCCGCCGCCCCTGCACAACAACAACAACAACTGTGAAGAAGGAGAGCAGCCTTTGCCCCCGCCAGCCGGCCTCAACAGTGAGTGCTGGGCGGGCGGACTGGGTGAAGGAGATGGGGGAGGAGGAGCTGCCCCTGCTGCCGCGGCCAGTTCCCCCCCGGCGGGGGGGGGGTGCCGGGAGGAGAAGGTAGCCCATTGGTCTAGGCTGAGGATGTGCGGGTGACTGACAGTTTCCGTCACCTGTCAGGATGAGGTGCTTGTGTCTTCCTCCGGTCCGGTCTTCCCTCCTTCTTGGGGTCTTGGGGCGGGGGCTGCTTCTCTTCCCGGTTTCGGAGGGCTGGTGGGAGGGAAGAGGAGGGGGACGAGCCCTATTCCACCTGTGGTGGGCCCCTGAGCGGAGCCTGTCGAGGCGTGAAGGGGCGGGCTGAGGAGCCCTGGGAGGGTGGGCGGAGCGGACGCTGAAGGGGACGTGGGCAGGGATGAACGTGCGGCAGGGAAGCTGGGGGATGGACGCGGGCCGCCGGCCGAGGGGAGGGGGCGGTGGGGAGACGGGTGCGCGGTCAGCTGTGCGGCGGCGCGGAGCTTGGCGCTGCTGACCCCACCTCGCGTCACCAGGTCGGCCCGGCGCGGAGTGGGAGACGTCTGGTTGCGTTCCTTTGTTACCACAGGCTGGTTAGGGAAATCATTTGGTAATTTAGTGGTTACTTGTTTAACGTCTGGGCGGGGGAAGCTCTGCCACTTTTTTTTAGATGTTTCAGAGTTGCTCAAGTGATTTTTTTTTTTCTTTTTGACGATGGGGTTGTGTGTCCTGTAAACCTGTTTATGAACAAACACCCTCTTGAACCATACAAGATTGCACAAATCACGGAATCTGGGGTAATGAATTTTCAGAAATGGGTTTAAAAACACATTCATATACAAGGGCGGATGAAAGTTAATGACAGTATTGAATTAAGACCAAGTACAGTTGCTTTTCATAACATTCTGGTGCTCAGACATCTTGTCCTGAGGTTAGTCTCAGATGGCTTTAATGCTCAGAATCTTGGAAAGGTTTCTGCTTCATCTTCCTATAATTCCTCCCATGAAAGAGGTGGTTGGGACAGTTCACAAACGACCAGATGAAACTGTTAAAAAGTCGTTTGGATGCTTACATGACATTTGAAGGCATTGCAGTGTCTTCCATGAAAGGAAGGTGTTGCAATATGGCTTCAAAATTATCTAAGGGAAAAGAGTTCCTGTCCTCACAAGATGGGGATAGAATTCGATTATTTTAAGATGTTTTCATTGCTTATTGCTGCTGCTCCATCTTTTCGTGGATAAATTCTTCAAATGTTGACTTTTTAAAACTTTTTAAAAAGTGTCTTATGTTCTAGAATGTAAAAAATTGTTTTCCACACTAAACTAGGATTAATTTGTGCCTGTGTTATTTGCTGTGCATATTAATCTGCATTTTAAAATCATTTACCCGTGTTTAACATACTCTTAGAACTGTGGGATTTTAAAATGGCATAAGATTTCTTTATTATTATTTAAATTTTATTTTTCAATTACAGTTTACATTGAATATTATTTTATATTAGTTTCAGATTAGTTTCAGATGTTCAGCACAGTGTTTAGACAGTTTTCTACTTTACAAAATGTTGGGAAGAGACTTGAGAGATTTCTGTCACCTGTTATTTACCAGGAAAGAAACAGGTCTAGAGTCAAATGTGCTGTTGACACCTGGCAAGGACCTGGAGCGGAGGTTTTCACGTTCATCCCATCTAGTGCTCCTTTCAGGACGCTTCTTTTCAGTGGCCCAGAATTGTGTGTTTCTAATTCTCTGGGTGTGTTATTCCACCTAATGTAATATACAGAGGTGGCCTGTCCTTCTGTCTTTTTCTAGTACATGTTTTTTAATTGTACTCAGTGTTTGTCTATGATACCTTTAAGTTAGCTATTTGGTTAGTATGTGTACATGATTTCACAGAAAGCAGAGGAATTGTAATTTTCCTTTGACCATTTAACAACAACAAAAATGGTGTTGATCTATGTGTGATTGTTTTTATTTCTGTGTCTGACAGACCTATTAGGTATTTGATGATGTTAGCCAAGCAGTTGCTGCTATGTTTATGTTAGCTCTTAAAAAGTGGAAGAACACTGAGCCTGTGTGTGATAATCAAAATGTTACTTTGGGAAGTCTGTTACATAGGAAATATTCTGGGGGTAGGGTGAGCTTTCAAGTTACTGAAAAGCTTTTGGATAGTGCCACATTTATTTATTCCCCTCTTGCCTTTTACAGTTTGTTTTTTAGCTCATTATACAACACTGAACTGAGCAAAACAAGCCTTATTGATTCCTTCAAGTGATTTTTAGGCACTGGGCAAAACAACTTATTCAGGCATCTAATACGTACTATCCAAATTGCTGATTAAGTTGAAGTTCTTTGTTGGGTAGAGTTGCACAACTACGAAAAACAGGAGGTGAACTCATGGTACAAATTATCTCTGGCTTGGGATTTTATCTTTAGGTCAGGGATCAAAGCAGAGTTTTAATAGCAAGTTATTGAAATATTTGGAAGAATGAAACCTGATTTTTTTTAACTTACTGTTTTAGGGGAACTGTTCCCTTTCATTACAAATTAGTGAACAAATATCTGAACTGCTTTCAAAGTTTAAAAGGATATTTTCCAATTTCTAATGTTAGTTTTATTCTTAAGAAAATGATTAAATTACTGAAGAATATTTGTATAGGGCATTTATGTCATAAAAATCAGCAGGTGTAATATAAGGCAAATCAAGATACCAGTATAATTCTTGTTTAATGTAGGAAGTACAGCATTTTTTTTCCTTTTTTAACATCTTCAGCCATGATGTTCTTGCTTCCCCAATATTGCAAGATGACTTTTAAGACTATGATACATGAAATGTCACTGTCTTATAATACTTTTTAGAATACATAATTAATTAGTGTGTGAGTACTTACTTGTGCAAAAAGACCAACTTTTTAAAAAATAAGAATGTCCGTGACTGTTCGTAGTCTCAATTCTAGCATCAAGTACTTGAAATAAAATAAAGGCTTTAAGGAAAGAGGATAAGACATAATAAAATGTGTCACTCCTGGTTAGGGTCAGATTGACACATGGAGCCTTGGAAAATGAGAAATAGTACTGTTCTTTCTTCCGCACCCCCTAGCTCTGCCACTCCTCTTTTTGCAGGAGGGTTGACCTGGTGATTGTAAAACTAGAGAGTATATGCAGCAAACAGTCATGAATGTAAACGATAATTGGGCCAGCTTTGACGATGTACTATATTAGAGAATGTAGAAACATGCTTCTCCGAATCTTGTAGCAGTTCTCAAGAACTTAAACTAGAAAATGTCTATTGTATTGTGTATATGTACAATCAGTCATAAGAGAACAGTTTTCAATTTGTAAGTAAGCTTTTAATATAATAGGGCCTGCAGTTCTTAATTTTAAAGCTCGGTTTTTAGGAAGAGGATTCACTCTGAGATTTTTTTCTAGTTTGTATTGCTTGGACAGCACAGTCCTCTTATCTTGTTTTGTTTCCTTTCCAAATAAAAAGGGACTAGTGAGGATCAGTAGAGTTAGAACATCAAAAAATTCAGAGCTGTAAATCAGAAATGAATGAAGAGAGGTGAAAAAGGCATGTGGAGTTCATCTATGGAGAAGGAAAAGTTTGCTTTTTTCACAACCATTTTTCTGAAAAGATAAGAGTGATATGTAGCCTTTTAATGAATATGTGTGCATAACTTTCTCTGCAGTACTGTTTTTTACCATAGATGATATTTCTGGGAAGAGAATTATTGATTAAAGGAAATCTAACTTTTTAAGGCTCTTCATACTGCCAAACTATCCTCCATTGAAGCCTTGATTTCAATAACAATATTAGAAACAATAATTTGGATAGCAGTTAACCATTGCCATTTGTATAGTGGTTTAAGTATGATATATCATGATGGGATGCAAAGCAGTTATTTTTTTAAATTTTTATTTATTTTTAGAGGGGAAGGGAAGCAGAAAGAGAGGGAGAGAAACATCAATGTGTGGTTGCCTCTTGCACGGCCCCTACTGGGGACTTAGCCCACTACCCAGGCATGTGCCCTGAGTGGGAATCTAACCAGTGACCCTTTGGTTTGCAGGCTGGCACTCAGTCCACTGAGCCACATCAGCCAGGGCAGTGATTCCATATTTCTTTGAAAACTCTGGAAGTTTACATAGGAAAGTTTTAATTAAAAGTGGTTTCCTTTGGGATAGGGATGTGAGATTGGGAGGAGAGGTATTACTTTTTATTTTATGTACTGATGTTGCATTTTCAAGAAACATTATTTTGTATTAAATGTTTTTAAAAGATAGATTATAATTATAATATTAGCTAACACATTATACTGGTAACCTTTCCTATTTTTTAATATGGTTTATTCATGTCATCCTCCTGACAATACAGTGAGGTAGATACATTTACTATCCCTATTTTACAGATGAGGAAACTGACAGGTCTGGGGTGCAACAGCTGTTATTAGTGGGAGTTCGAGTTCTTAACCCCTCTCCTAATACGTGTCAAGTAAACATCTGCTTTAAGTAGAAATGCCTTCAGTTATACTGAGTGTTAAGGCAATTACAGAGACTGCTTTTACTAAACTTTTCTAGGTATGCCTCCCCAAGTTCCTAGATTATGATTGCTACATATTTTTAATGCAGGAAGTAGAATTTAGATATTGGTATGGAAATCCTTCAGAAAAGTAAGGTCCAGAACACCTGATATTGTTACATACTTTTTTCTCTTTTTTGATCATCTACTTTAAGTGAACATTTACTGTATTTTGAGGAACACTGGCTTCCACAGAGACCCGTCTGGAACTCCTGCTTGCTTAGTTCTGTCTCCATCAGAGCAGGTCTGGCCTGTTTTTTGTTTTTTGTTTACTTGTACACAGTGGGCTTCTGTACAAGAACTGGTCCCGTTGGTTTAAATAAGTTTGAAAATCCCAGAAACAGTGCTAGCAGGGAGAAAAAAACAGTTTATAATATACCTTGCTTTTTCTCTGCCTCTCTTTTCGGTTAAAATATTTTGCAGCTCTCTAAACTTAGGGATGCTTTTAGCATATTTCTTATACACTACAGAGGCACTCTAAATATTTAGTTAAATTACCTTTAGTGTTAGATCTGCCCTAGCTTTGCTGGTTGAGTTTGTTAAGTCATATCAAGTTCCGAGTTCCGTGTTGTCTTCGTCTGTCTTTGTGTGTATACAGCCTGAGGCTGCAGGGATGTCATCTAACTGGTGTTTGGAAGTACAATGCCAAAGATGTGGTGGGGATTAGGGGACTGTGACAACCCAGGAGTGCCTCAGAGGGAAAGGATGGAAAGAGTAACTTCATTTTTATTAAGCAAACACTGTTCTAAGTACTTTACAAATATAAATTCTTTCACCCAGTTTGTAACTGAGCACTTACCTTTTGTCTATGTTCCTATATTTAATCCTCACAGCAGCCCTTGGAGGTAGGCACTGTGCTCTCATCTTTGTTTTACAAATGAGGAAACTCAAGGTCAGAAAGTCAGATAGATAGTAAGGGGTGGAGTCAGATTTCCAACCAGGTTTGCCTTTGAGTTTTTCCTTCACTCGAGGATGGTGTTCAGGTCTGGAATAGCCATCACCTCATTTAGAGTGCCTTTAGGATTTGAACCTGTTTGGGTCGTTATCCTGTTTTGCTGATGTAGTAGTGTTTGGCCACAGAACTCTCCCTAATGCTTTTGCTGAGAGATCAGAGGAATGGTCCCAGCAACCCGTGTGGTGACAGTTTCTAAAACAAAATTTATTGTATTGAATGGAAACTACGAAAAAATTACTATCTCTTTTTGTTGTGAAATTGGCTTATCAGCTACTATTGCCAATTCTTGTTAAAATTAAAGCTCCTTAATGTGTTCAGCAAACTCATCAAGCCAATAAATATTTTTAAGACCAATCCACATTACCAGAGCCCTAGCCCCTTTCCTGTGGCTCCACACTCTGCCACTGTTCCCATGAGAAAACTTCAGTGTCACCTGTGGCAAATGCGCAGTTGTTACTCCCCCCCAAACCAAAGAGGCTTACTGAAAACCCTAGAAAGTAGCAACTCCTGGGTGAGAACAGAGAAAAGACAAGTTCACAAGGTATGTTTAGTGGATGGAGAAAGGAGAAAGGCTGGAAATAGTGAGGCATAAAGGAAAGGAAGAAACTATTTTGCGGGTTAGAGGTACAGCTTTTTTTCAGGTTTTCTTAGCACTAGCACCTGACTTAATTGTGAGCCAGTTGCATTAACTTTGTGCTCAAATTTGTACACAAAATGAAATTTTTATGATTGCATCCAAGTCCCTCCTCTAGGAGCTTCGCAGTTGTTTGTGCAATTAGGACATAATTGTTAACTTATTTAGATGACCTTTATGAAGTTAGGTCATATGTTTATTTCATTTGTGGAGAGAATACAACTAAATAACTGTGGTGGACTATGGAAAATATATTAAAGGTAAAATATTAAAGGATAATTGTCTAGATATAAAGTATTTTTTGGAAAGCAACCTAAAAGCTTTCAGTTCAGTGAAGTGTTTTGTTGTATGTAAACTAAGCTTTAAACAGAGAGAAAATTGGCTTAAAGACATTTTCTGTGATACTAGTTTTAGAGTTCCAGCTTTTTCTAAGTTGGTTCATTGCATGACCTACTTCAGGAACAGAACTATATAGATTTGTAGAGTATTATTGCTCCTTGTTTGTCGGCTTCAGAATACTTTTGCATTTTGTTTGAGGCGAGTAAGACTTCTTATCTGAACCCACCATGTTCACATCAGTGTGCACACGACAGATTTCAGTTCTGCTGCAGTTAACGTAAGTTATCTGACTTGCCCAACAGGTTCCTGGGTGGAGCTCCCCATGAACAGCAGCAATGACAATGATAATGGCAATGGGAAAAATGGGGGGCTGGAACACGTCCCTTCCTCATCCTCTATCCACAATGGAGACATGGAGAAGATTCTTTTGGATGCACAACATGAATCAGGACAGAGCAGTTCAAGAGGCAGTTCTCACTGTGACAGGTAAGTGAGGTTTTGGTGGAATTCAGGAAACAGATGGGTACAAAGTTAACTCTCATTAGGAAAAATAAATGGCTTACATCTTTATTTCACAAAATATGACACGAGATTTATTATAGTATGTGTATTTATTTTTTTAAAGATTTTATTTATTTATTTTTAGAGAGAGGGGAAAGGAGGGAGAAAGGAGGAGAGAGACACATCGGTGTGTGAGAGAGACATCGATTAGTAGCTTCTTGCACTCCTGCAACTGGAAACCTGGCCCACAACCCAGGCATGTGCCTTGACTGGGAATCAAATCTACAACCTTTCAGTTCACAGGCTGGCACTGAGCCACACTAGCCAGGGCACAGTGTGTATATTTAAATCAGACAGCTCATTCACAAGTACTTGTGTGTTCCCCCAGATTAAATCAATTTCCTTATCAGATTATATTGTTTTTAGATATTTTATCAGTTTAAAGCTGGATGGCATAAATGTTTATTTATAGAATTAATCCAGCTTTCTCCCATTGTCCTTTGTGTCCCTGTCTTACATCTCATAGTCTGCCTGGAACATAGTTATCTGTGTGTATATCTGTCCTCCCTTCTTGATTGTGAGGCTCCATGAGGTGGGTAATGTTTCATCTCCTTGGTATTCTCGCAGTAATGGTGCTGGCAGTTGCTGACACTCAGTAAAGCATTTACATTATAGGAACTGCAGGTTGGTTCAAGTTAGAGCAATGTTTGCACAGTGGAAGCACTAACCAAGTCTGTAAAGATAGTTAATTTTGAAGGCCATTCTGTTTCCTCAGAGGAAGTTTTATTTTAGACCTCATTTTTCTCTGAGTTAGAGAAACTAATTCCACTGATTAAAGTGAAACAGTAAGAATATAGAGGTATGTGTGGGTAGAGTGAAATTGAGCTGTTTGTTTAGTGTTTTTTTTTTTTTTACTTTTTTTTTTTAGGGAGGGAGGGGAAGGGAAGAGAGAGGGAGAAACATTGATTTGTTGTTCCATCTATTTGTATATTCATTGGTTGAGTCTCGTATGTGCCCATGACCAGGGGATCGAACCTGCAACCCTGGCATATCAGGATGATGCCCCAGCCCCCTGAGCTACCCATCGAGGGCCTGAGCTGTTACTTTAATTTTCAGTATAAGCTTCTCTTTTTTTCAGAGGGACTAGATATTAAATGACATACTGGTATCATTTGACACTTCTTAGACCAGTGACAGCCATGCTGATAGCATTACGGGGTATTAGATGATCTTCTGGTTAATTAAGAGTTAACTGATATCAGCCAGGTAGAAAATGCCTGAGGGAAAGATTAAGGAAATATTTAAAAATGTAAACAGTGATTATCTCCAAGGGATAGAATTACAGATTTTTTTCTTCTGAATATTTTTGTGCTTTGTAAAAATTGTGTGCATAGCATGTATTATTACTTACTAGAAAAAGCATAGAAGGAGAAATAGAGGTAACTCATGTTCAGAGTGCTGTGTGTCTAGTTATGATCCACCAATTTTCCCAAGGCAGCAGAGGCCTGGTTTGAGGTCTATAGCTATGGCACAGTGTATAACCCCACCACCCTGTCTCATGGGTGACTTATCTCTATGCTCCTTAAGAGCTTGGGATGGCTCTACTAACAAGCAGAAGGAGAGTGGATAGCTTTCTGAGCAGCTTGCCTTTGATTCCAGTTCTGACAGCATTAGTCTTTCAGAATGAAGTTTTTGTTATCCAGTATGTTATCCTCAGACATACTGCGGGTTCAGTCAGATCACTGCAACAAAGCTAGTGTCACAATAAAGCAAGTTGTAGTCTTTTTGCTGGTGGACGGTCTTCAGTTTGTGACAAATGCAACATCTGGAAAGTATGGTAAAGCAGAGCACAATAAAACATAGCAGAAAAAGTAAACTATAAATGTATTACATTCATTTCATGGGACTGCCTGGTGGGTTTCTGAAGTTTACTGCTCATATGGTCCTGTTGATAGGCTTTTACTCTATATTGAAGTATGTGACACTTGATCACCCGTGCCAGTGTATTGCTTCGCCTGGTGGTCACTTGGTACTGTTACTGAGCCAAGGAAAAGTCAATTGCTCACCTTTTGGGTCATCTGATTTCATTGATGGTTGCAGTGATACCTGTGATCAAATATGAATTTACACTCCTGTGATGGTGTTTCAGCTGGGTTTCCAACCACATGAAATGAGGTATGGCAGATGCTTTTGAACACTTTCTTGTCCCTCAGCTTATGTATCTGCAGGCCCTGGCTTACTGGTTGTCTTTCAGAGGAGGCCTAGAACTCCAGTGCAGTAAGACTCTTGGGATATCTAACACACTTTAACATTTAAACGTGTCTTCAAAATTCATGTCATTTGAATTGTCATGCATCTGTATATTTGAAGTTGTTGAGAAGTGTTCCTTATAGGTGGCAAAGTTTTAGGATTATTGGCTATTGGTCCCAAAGCTAATTTATGTACACTTTCAGTTTAAAAATGGTTTTATAGGTATACTTACGTCACTGTGGTACTTGTTCGAAGATAACATCTATGTGTTTTGCTTTGTGTTCCACCCTGTTGTAGCAGTTTTCAACCTATGATTCATCCAGCGAGCTTTTAAAAATACCAGCACACCAGACACCATCCCTGGAGATTCTTATTCTGTTGTCAGGGGAGGGGTAGAATCAGGAGAATATTTAAAAATCTCCCCAGCCAATCCTGACATGAGTCAGGGTTGAAACTCTAATATAGGGGTGTCAAACTCATTTTCACCAGGGGCCACCTAAGCCTCGTGCTTACCTTCAAAGGGCCGAAATAATTTTAGGACTGTATAAATGTAACTACTCCTTAACTGTTAAGTAGTTGAAATTCCATTCAGCCCTTTGACGGCAACTTCGAGGCTGATATGGCCCCTGGTGAAAATGGGTTTGACACCCCTGCATCTAATGCATTCCAAAGTGTTAAGAGTGGTAAGCAGTTTATCAAAGACATGTTTAGTATTTCTGAGCGAGATGGGAATGGTGTTGAGAAGAGTGTGGAAGTGGAGTGGTGCTTGGGTCAGACTCTCACCTGTCATGCTGCTGCCTTGACCTGTTTGTTCATGGCTCTGTGAAGCTGGCCCTTAACTTGACCTTTGGCTGTGAACCCAACAGAGTTATGAGTGTAATGATAGTAAACTAAGATTTCTAGTTCAAGCAAAACTTTTTTAAATACATTAATATGTTTGTTTCATATAGAACCAGCTTTTCTCTTATCCTACCTTCCTTTAAGGATCTCCTGTGTCAACTGTAGTAGCCTAGGACTACTGGGCTTAATCAACCTGATACATTTCTGGTGACTGTATTTATTTTTTAGTCAGTCTCACCAAAATCTCTGTATATTAACATTGTACACATGCTCATGATAACTTTAATACTTAACATCTGTTCTGTTGAACATTTTTCATCTCTATTTGAATTTAGATTTTGGGGGGCAGTGTTTAGTGAAAGGCCTAGAGACTTGCTGTGGAACTATACAAGGAATCATTGATAAAATTAAGAATAGGACTTAGCACATTACATTCATCTAGTGTACAAGTACAGTTCATGGTCATGTGTCTTTGTCTAAAAATTTATCTGTAAATTTTTATAGTTCTGGGACTGCATTTTGTATTTTTCATTAAAGGTTATATATTTATATACAAACGTGTGTGTATATATAGATATATATGTATATGCTTACCTAATTCACTGAAATGTCTCAAAGCAAATATTTCTGAAATAAGCAGAATAGTGCTTCTCAAACTTTTTGGTCTTTCTGCTTCTTTACACTCCTAAAAATTATCAGGGATCCCACAGAGCTTTTGTTTTACATGGATTATATATTTTGGTATTTACTATATTAGAAATTGAAACTGAGAACATTTAAAAATAATGTATTTATTCATTCGACAATAATAAACCATTATATTTTAACATAACCTTTTAAAATGGAAAATAACTAGTTTTCACAAAAAAATTTAGTAGGACTAGTGGCACTGTTTTATGTTATTGTAAATATCTTTAATATGTGGCTTAGAAAACAGCTGGATTCTCATGTGCATTTGCATTTGATCTGTTGTAATGTCACACATGTAACCTCTGGAAAATTTCACTGCATATTCATGAGAGAATGAGAATGAAAACAGCAAATGAATCTAATAATACTAGATTGAATTTTTATAATACTATTATAAAAATAGTATTAACCTCGAAGACCCTTTGAATGAGTCTTTGGAAACTGCTTTCACACTTTGAGAACTGTTGGTAATGAATGATTTAATGATGAAGGAACTTTGAGACAAAGAACCTCAAACAAGGTTTCTGTGTTTAAAGATCATTTTACCTTTATTGGGGGGAAAAAGTAAAATTAAAATGTGAGAGTCTTGCATCTGTAGGTAACATTTCCTTTGCAAAGTTATCATTGTGAAGGAATTTATCACCACAGAAAAATTCCAGAACATTTTGGAGTAAAAATGCTCAATTTCATTTTTTCTTCTATGGGGTTATGGTATGCTTCTGATTTGCTGCTTTTCACAGCCATATACTATGACTTTTAATTTTCTGATTTCTGGTAGGGATAATTTATTTGACAAAATGGGAATTAAAACTAATGACTAAATTCTTTCTTTCCTAGCCCTTCCCCACAAGAAGATGGACAAATTACATTTGATGTGGAAATGCACACCAGCAGGGACCATAGCTCTCAGGTGTGTGTGTGTGTGTGTGTGTGTGTGTGTGTGTGTTAATTTACTTTTCTAATTCACAGTAAATAGTTACAGAAATGCAAGCCTCTACGTATGTATGTTTGACTAAAATAAAGAATTAGAAGACTTTAAAAAATAGTTTGAAGCTGTTTTAAGTTATTCAGTTTCTGGTTTTGGAATTCACTTAGGATGATATTGTCCTTGTTGTACTCCTTTACAACTGAGAATTTGGGGGCATATCATCCTAAAAGAATTGGAAAATGATTGCCTGTGAGGTCATTTTACTGCTTCAGTCTAGTTTTCTTGAGTTTATAAATAGAAAACCAAAACACATGTCTCATTAAGGTCCCAAAATAAATGAAAAGGAGGGTGGTTGTAGAACCAGGTATGAAAACTTTTGCTGCATCCAAAATGAAAGCAATGATTTTTGAGATGAATTTCAACAGCTAAGATAAAATTGATCTAAATTATGCAGGTTCCTTAAGTTAAATAAGGTAAATATAGTTCACTTAGGAGTTGACATTGTTGGAAGTATAGATAGATATGGTATTGAAAGCTTATAAAGGTCTATGTTATAAAATTTGTGATAAGTAAGTAATTGTTAATGATTTAGAATGTTCATAGCCAGCCCTTAAATTTATTGATGTGTCAAGTCACCTCAAAGTGTCAGAGTGCAGATTCCTGAGGATAGGAACTATTGTCCTTCTCTCTTGTGTTAAGGTGCTTGAAGAATGTATGTTGAATGTATGTTGAATGTAAATAAATTGTAATAAAAACTTGCTTTGTGGGATTCTCATTGTACCATGTCTTGAACCCTTTGCACTAGAAATATTTTGCCTGTTATGTGGAATCCACCCACTATTGTTCTATTTCAGAAGGCTGCATGATTTCTTCCTACTTTGACTCTGCTCTGTTTGTGCTATTCTCTGAAGCCCAGGAAACCTCTGGGATTGAATACAAATGTATTTCATGATGAACTGGGCTCTGTGGAGGAGGTCAGAGTAGCTTGGCTCTCATGCAGGGAGGTGTCTGACTGGTCTTGCCAAACTGCTGACTTTTGTACGTAAGTTTGGCCATGTGCAGTAAGCTGTAACAATGAAGAAGGAAGTCTATGAAGTTACCATGGCAAAAAGTGTACTAAGGAATGCCAAGATAGAGAAATGAAATTAATTTTTTGCTGTAGTCAGTCCTGAGGAAAATGTCCTCAATCCGTATTGTCTTTTGTATGGACACATTGAAAATCTAGAATAGCATTTTCCAAAATATATTTTGAGGAACATTTGCTCAGTGGGAAACCCCATAAAATCGTTCTGATGTCACATAAGTGGGAAAGGATATAGTGCCTGGGCTCCCTCACATCAGTTAGTCACAGCAGGTAGGAACGTGTTATAGGCTCTGACGGTTCCTGCAGTAAAGAAATCTGTTTATTTAAACCAAGTATTTCCCAGTCATTTATTTGACCATAGACCTCCCTCTCCCTCCACATATACTTTTTGCCTCTAATAATCTACCTAACAACCTAATGGATGACTTTGGTCAGTGTTCATGCAATGGCAGGTGTACAATTAGATTTAACTGATGATTGAACTTACGGGACTCCTGGAGTTGAAAATGTGAAACTTTTGGCCTCTAGGTCAGGTTATGATAGCATTGCTGTGTGATTCCTATTCAGATATAAGTACCTGAAAGAACATTGGTTAACATCAACCCTTTGATAAGCAGTATAACAGTCAGATCAGTCAGTTTAAATAGGGTTACATGTTTGGAAAAGCAGTTTAACTTTTACACATACATCAAAAGCATTATATCTTTTTTTCAAGCCTCACCCAAGGATATGTTTATTGATTTTAGTGAGAGAGGAAGGGGAAAGAGAAAAAGAGAAATATGGATCGGTTGCCTCCTCTATGCACCCCAACAGGGGATCGAACCCTTAACCTAGGTATGTACACTGACCGCGATGGAGCCTGCAGCCTTCTGATGGACAGGATGACACTCCAACCATCTGAACCACCAGGCCAGGGTTATATACCAGAAGCGTTACATCATTAAGACTTTTAGTGAAGGAAATATCAGTAGGTACAATTTATTTAGACTTTATTAAATAAAGATTTTATTTATTTATTTTTAGAGAGGGAAGGGAGGGGGAAAAGAGAGAGAGGAACATCAATGTGTGGTTGCTGGGGGCCGTGGCCTGCAATCCAAGCATGTGCCCTGACTGGGAATCGAACCTGCGATGCTTTGGTTCGCAGCCTGCGCTCAATCCACTGAGCTACGCCAGCCAGAGCTTATTTAGACTTTTAAATAGCCTTTTAAATTGTTTTTTTTTTTTTAATTGCAGAAAAGATAATGTAAAATTAACCACTTTAGGGTTTGGGAAGATGAAATTTTTTTTCATGAATGAGAAGCAAGTATAGGGTTAAGAAACAATTTAAAGGAGTTAACAAAGGACTATTATGATACTTGTTCTTCCTGAATATTTTTATATATGTCTATACCAGGAATACGACATTTTCAGCCTTTTCTAGGAGGAAGAAGGAAAAATATTGATATTAGACATATTATTGGTGCTAAATTTATTTTTTTTAAGTTTTTCCCACTTTTAGTGCTCTCATTTCAGTGAAGGAGGTGATATTATACGCATGAACAAATGGGCAAGGTGAAGCTTTGTCTTAATTAAGTTACTTATCTAAGATTACAAAACCAAGTAAGTGACAGAGTCAGGGCTGTTTGAGCCTATGACTACCATTCCTTCTACTAAAATAAGTCATTGAAAGAAATCTGTTTCAGGAGAGCTCACAAGGTTCTGAGAAGAAACTAACACATGTCTGGTGAGTTATGGTATGAGGAAACCTAAGTTAGAATGCATTTAGGCAAAAAGTCATTCAGTCTATATTTTCAGAATGGTAGTCCTCAAGAGTCTCAGTTTTGTCACAGAAAATAGACTGTGGATTATCTCTTGAAGGCATTTTGCAGTGGGTTTCTGGGACCAAAGAGGGCAGCATAGTGTTGGGTATCTTTGGAAGGTGATAGAAACTGAAATTGTCCTCTCTTTTCCCCTCTTCTAAACTGTTATCTGAATGTGGAGCCCACAGACTGCAGTTTACTGTCCATGTTTAGAGACTTAAAGAACTTGCGGAACCCTGGCTGGTGTGGCTCAGTGGATTGAGCGCGGGCTGCAAACCAAAGCATCGCAGGTTCGATTCCCAGTCAGGGCACATGCCTGGGTTGCAGGCCACAGCCCCCAGCAACCGCACATTGATGTTTCTCTCTCTTTCTCCCTCCCTTCCCTCTCTAAAAATAAATAAGTAAAATCTTAAAAAAAAGAACTTGCAGTGAGCCAGAGAAGGCCAGTATAAGGGGATAGAAGCTGGGGCTTTCCGTGTGAGGACAGGCTAAAATGATCATAATCTACTGTGTGAATAGATGTAGGGATAGAGAGAAGGTTATCGATTCAGTTGAAAGCATAGTTCTTATTTAATTAGATTAAGTACATTTTACCACATTCTGAAATTCTGAGTTGGAAGACAGTTTAAAACCTGAAACTGGCAAATTTAAGATTAATAAAAGGAGGCTCAGGGCCAGTTGTAAATGAGGAGAGCTGGAGAGCTTATGATCCTGATTCTAAAGTGATCTGGGTTTAAAAAAAAAAAATAGTCCAAAGATAACTTTGCTTCACTCAACTGAGAAAATTACATCATCTTAAAAAAATAGAGCAAAAAAATCTTATTATTTTTTAATTCTCTTGGAAAGTATGAGATACTAACTTGTTCACAAATTTAAACCTAAAACTTTGAGCAGTTTTAGAGAGAGAGACTTGTGAGACCTAAGTTTGAAATTTCACAGAAAGGATATGCAGTGTGTTGAATATTGTCAGGTACTGTGAATATGCAAATTGATCTATAAATAAATTGTAACAATTTATTGGTTTTGATTTAAGATGTTTTTAGATTTACTGTAAAGAGCCAACTCATGATTCTGAGTAATCTCAGTACCCAGTAGTGTTGAGATTTTCCCAGTGGAAAAAGTTTAATCCTCAAGGCTGTGTCATGTCATCCAGTGGAATTTGTGAAGTCCAGGCACACTAAGTAAAACCATAGCAAAAATCCACAGGGATGGTATTTTTGGTTTGGTAGTAAAAAGGACTACCTGTATCTGGAGAGTTCTGAAGCTGCCTTCTCTGGGCAGCTATTCCACAAGTAACTGGACCTGTTGAAAAAGAATCCTGGGATATGTCAGGCTCTGCATTTTGTAACTACCTACTGAAAAGAATCAAAGCTTTGGCCAAAGACTGGATCCTATTCAAACAAAATTACAAATCAAAAACAATTCTTAGCTTTGAGATCTTTTGGTTTGAGGTCATAGCATCACATTCCTTAAAACTGAATGAATAATGCTGTGTCATTTTTAGGAATGTCTCCTTCCTATGGGTTCTATTATAAGAGAAGCTTTTGGAAAATTTGATTGCTTTTGGCCTGAAAACTTGAGGTTATTATTAAAGAGAAAACACATTTCTTTTTCATTTAGTTGATACAAAAGATGTCAAATTCTGACTCCATATAAAGTAACTTATTCCCCCCCCAAAAAACACAAAAAACAAAAAACACACAAAAAAACACAAAAACACAAAAACAGCCTTTTGTCTTAAGTAGTTTTGAATAAACCTTGCGAAATGTTTGGATAGTGATTTGTTTAGAAAAATAGAAGCTTCTAGGGAGTAAAACCTAATGCTGAAGAGGGAGGGCTCTAGAGACATTTTGCCTGGATTTGGATTCCGGCCCTCCGACTTACTGCTTATGGAACCTTAGGCAATTACTTAATTTATATCTGTTTCCTCATCTGCAAAAATTGGGTATTAACAGTTCCTATTTCTACAGGGTTGCATGGTAAAAGTTAATGCATGGAAAGTACTTGGAGTTAGACTTGTCTCTTGATACGTGCTTAATAAATACTATTATTATTTGTTTCCTTATCACATCGCCTAGTTACTTATTTTCTCATCACTTTATATTTGGTAGCACATACCAGGGGTGTCAAACTCATTTTCACCAGGGGCCACATCAGCCTCATGGTTGCCTTCAAAGGGCCGAATGTAATTTTAGGGCTGCATAAATGTAACTACTCCTTAACAAGGGGCAAGGAGCTTGGTGCTGCTGCCTGGTAGAAGCAAGGTTCTGGGCCGGATAAAACAACATGGAGGGCTGGATTCAGGCCCTGGGCCTTGTTTTTGCCACGTGTGGCATAATACTTTTTGATATGTTGTCTTTTATTTTTAATTATAAAAAGTTTTAAATACATACAAAAGTAAAGAGTATATTACAGTGGACCTTCATATAAGCATCACCCATATTCAGCAATTATCAACATTTTCCACACTTCAGTTAGCTTAGCCTCAAATGTTTTTTTTTTAATTTTTAATTTTTAATTTTGAAGATTTTATGTATTTATTTTTAGAGAGAGGGGAAGGGAGGATGGGACGGAGAGAAATATCAATGTGTGGCTGCTTCCCACACTTCCCCCACTGGGGACTTGGCCTACAGCTCAGGCATGTGTCCTGACTGGGGATCCACCTGGCGACACTTTGGTTCATAGGCTGGCACTCATTCCACTGAGCTACACCAGCCAGGGCTCAAATGTGCTTTTTGTCTCAGGTTCATTTTTTTTATTGAGGTTTAATTGAAGTTTCAGATTTGTATTCTATGTTTAGATATAAAAACAGTAAAACTCATTCAAGTTCTTTTTAAGATATTAAAGATCTTAATATCTTAAGGTTATTTCAGAGATTATTTTGTCAGCCTCTTTAGAAAAATGGCATATTTCTTATATAAAAATTACTGATGTTCAGCCTTTTGATTTCCATGTGTTCTCTGGATTTGTCTTTTGTAGTAGGAAGATCTGGTGTTCCTTTTTGCCTTTTTAATTTTTGAATTCTTCTTTATAGTCAGAAGAAGAAGCTGTAGAAGGAGAGAAAGAAGTTGATGCTTTGAAGAAAAGTGTAGACTGGGTGTCAGACTGGTCCAGTAGGCCTGAGAACATTCCACCTAAGTGAGTTCTTACTTGTTCTCTTCAGTGGGCACAGTGGGTGTGTGTGCATTGGACCTGCTACTTCCCACACTGTTTTCAGCAAATGCATTTCTGATACCCGTTTCTGAATTTCTTCCCCCAGGGAGTTCCACTTCCGGCACCCAAAACGGTCTGTTTCTTTAAGCATGAGGAAAAGTGGAGCCATGAAGAAGGGGGGTATTTTCTCTGCGGAATTTCTTAAGGTGTTCATTCCATCTCTTTTCCTGTCTCATGTTTTGGCTTTGGGGCTAGGGTAAGTACTGGGCAACTGGTACAGGTTTTTTTCGTTCATTTTACCCTCACGTTTTATTTCCAGGTTTAAGGAACACATGTAAAATCAGTCTGTATTGTTTTGCTATTAATGTTTTAGTGTAAATAGGGTATGAGCTTAAATGAATTCTTAAAGTTAGTCCACTGTTGGTACAGTGATTAGCATATTTAATTGTAGTTTTTTTCTGAAAAATAAATTGATCATATTAATTTCCTAAGTGATTTTTTAAAAAAAAGATTTATTTTTAGATAGAGGGGAAGGGAGAGAAAAAGAGAGGCATGAGAGAAACATGCAGCCTCTCACATGCCCCCAGTCAGGGACCTGGCCCGTAACCCAGGCATATGCCCTGAACTGGAATCAAACCTGCAACCTTTTGGTTTGTGGGATGATGCCCAACCCACTGAGCCACACCAGTCAGGGCCTAAGTGATCATTTTTAAATGGGCTTGTCTGTGATTGATTTTTCTTTTTGGGTTGTGTCATTGTTGTTTATAAATTACTTAGGGTTATTTAAACTTTAATGTAAACTAATCTTCAGTGTGTAAATTTGGGGGTTGATGTGAACTTTTTTCCCAGCTGGGAAAATACACCATTTTATTATATAGTCCTTGAGTGAGACTGGTCGGTTGTTTGATGAGATAGTGTTTTGTTTCTCTTCGTAGCATTTTCATTTTTTCTTCTAAAATTAGCTCTACATTGACCTGTATTTCATTAATTTTTCATGCATGCTTCTTAAAGTCTTTTTTTGTTTTGATTTGAGTAATTGAGGAAATATATATTTGAAAGATTTTAGAGTTAAACACTAGCTGTTAATTTTATTCTAAGACATATCTGTTATTCTCTTTAAGCATGTCCAGTGGGTCACTTTCTGTATATAATAAGCAAAAGATACATCTTTCCTAAGCTTCCCTTTAAGGAGCTCAGCATATGGGAGAGATGTGCACAGTCTTGAACACAGAAACGCGTGACTGTTCCATATACCCCCTTTTGTCTTCTGAGTGATGTATCTGTTTTTAAGGACAGCAGTCACGAACATCACCATGGAAGGTGTTTGGGTTGGAAAGGAATGTGTGACTGTGTGACTGTTGTATGGGGTTGGAATGGGGGCAGGGGTAGGGCTTTCAGTTCCCTATAATATTGACTGCACTGTGGTCCATTTGCCCTTAAGAGGTGGGTTTTTGTACCTTGCAGCATCTCTTCTTTTCCTGAATCCAGACCATTTCTCTTGCTGGTGTAAATGTAACTGTTGTTATAGATGAACGTAGGAAAAGGGATTTTAAAAGTTGGTTGGTTTTATTATACTGGGGGGTGGGACTAATACTTTCCTTAACTTCCCTTCTGCTTATGGTGTTTAAGGGTAAAATACTTGCTTAGCACAAAAAAGTAATATTGGGCTCTTAGTCCTTAAGAGTTAAACTGTTAACTCTTAGTCCTTAAGAGTTAAACTGTTTCAAGAGGGCTCTGAAAGAGCCCTCTTGAAAGCACTGGGAGCTTTATAATTGGGGATATTACTATTCAATATATTTTGTATCTGAAGTATCAGTCAATCTACAAAAGCCCAGAACTTTTTACCTACCACAAAGGAGTAATTGAAAGGAGGTTGGCCCTTCTTTACTCCTGGGGGCGTCTGTTTTCTCTCACCTTCCCTTGTCGAATTGCTGGCCCTGCACTGTCCCATCTGGCCTCCAGAGACCAGTTGGGCTGGCTTGTGACTAGTTTTAGGTCAGTCAGTGATGACTTTAGGGTGCGGGGGACTACACACTTATACGTTTTGAGCATTTTATAAGGACTGAAATTTTTAGTTTTTGTTACAGCTCATCGTGTGGACAAGCCTGTGTAGAACTGTTGGAAGTAGGTGAAACATGGTGCTTTCTCTTTCCTTCCAGCATCTATATTGGAAAACGACTGAGCTCACCTTCTGCCAGCACCTACTGAAGGAAAGAAGCCCCTGGGAAAGCGTGTGACCTGTGAAGTGGTGTATTGTCACAGTAGTGTATTTGAACTTGAGACCATTGTAAGCATGACCCGACCAACCTACAACCCTATTTTTACATATCCAAGCTCCAGTAATTCTCAAATCCAGTATTTTATTCAAACTCCGTTGAGGCATTTTACTAACCTCGTTCCCTTTTTGGCCTGTAAGACACTTTAGAATTTCCTAACAGAGTTTACTGTTGTTTAGAAATTTGCAAGGGCTTCTTTTCCGCAGATGCCACCAGCAGATAATAATTTTGTCAATAATGCTGTTGTCTCCTTTTAGTACCACCAGACTGAGACCTGAATCATTCATGGTATAGATTTTACTCTTGCAAGATGACTCCCGTCTCTCTCTAAAAACAAGATCAGGTTGGCAGATGATATAAAAGCTTTGTTGTTTTGTTTTTCAAGACAAAGGCAAGCTTCTCTAAGCTTGAACTTACTAGTTATTAAAAAGAAAGAAAAACACACAAGACACAAGGAAAAAAATATCCTGGGCAATAAAAAATTATTTTAAACCAGCTTTGGAGCCACTCTTTGTCTAAGCTCCTGATGACACCTTTTTATTCGTAGGAGGCGATCTGTATAGATGACAGCTATGAAATGGAATAGGAAAAATACATCATGATGTATTCTAAAATACATCAGCAGATTTTACTGTATTTAGAATACATGATGTATTCTAAAATACATCAGCAGATTTTACTACTAGTATGTTGTAATGCTGTCTTTTCTATGGCGTAGAATCTTTATTTCTGATAAGGAATGTCTCAGGCCTAGACATATATGAAATTGCTTTTGGGATTTTTGTGTGTGTGTTTGGTATTTTTATGTTTGTTAGTTGCATGTGAATTTTTCATGACTTTCTTTACATTTAAAAAATTTTTCTTTTCTAAGAAGAGGCTTTGGAATGAGGTCCAGTTTTTGGTGTAAATACAGGCTCACTGTCTTAGGAAGCATCACGTCTTCTCTGAAGCCTTTAAACTAAAGGTGATTGTTTGAGTTATTCCAAGCACTTGAGCAACTTGGATAAACAGACTTGGTTTGTGGGAACATTGGACACAGTTCTGAAAAGATGCCATCTGTTGTTTTCTGATCTCCCCTTTTTTAATGTTTACTGTGTGATCTTTCTGAGGTGACCCTGCAATCTGCAGGCACTTTCCGTTGCAGCCGTCTTTTCAGTTACTTCAAATGCCTGATGTTCCAGAGCCCTCAACAACTTCCTTCAATGACATGCTTTTTTTGTTTGTTTCTAAAATGTGAAGCTTTAGGACCAAATTGTTGGAAAGCATCAGGATTACCAGTTATTTCAAGTAGATTTATTGGATTTCAGAACTCACAGCATGACTCTGAAGGATACTATTATATGTTTATATATAAATAATTACTGTTTATGATATAGACATTACTATTGAATATTTAGAGAACCATTGTTAATTTTAAAACTAGCAATTTACTCATTAAATAAAGTGCATCAGGTTGACTTGAATAAAAACACTTGGACAACCAGGTTCACCGGTTTGCAGAAACTCTCTTTTCTCTCACATCAAGTTTTGTAAAATATATGTGTTATAGTGGAAAAGAACATACAGATTAAACAAAAATTAATTTCTGACTTTTTTCAGGTATATAGCTGGCTATCTTTAAGAAAAAGATGTTATATACAAAATAGTTTTCTGAATTATTTTACTTTGTTTTTCTTTCTAGCAATGGATGCTAAATAATTTTGGAGACATTTTTATTATACTTTGTTTCTATTTTATTCTTAAACCTGGTAACACTTGATTTGCCTTCTATAACCTATTTATTTCAAGTGTTCATGTTTAAATTTCTTTGGAAAGAACAAAAATCTGATGGCTCACTGATTTTTGCAAAGCCTGAGTAAAATTTTAAAGGCTGGGCAGGTTAGGAGGGCTAAATAAATAAATTGCTATAATACACAATTTGTATTACAATTGGTATCATGGGAGGGGAATGTAAAATTATTCTTAAAATAAGAGCAACTTTTTACAGGCAACACATTAGCCTCTGTTGAAATTCAGTAGCAGTTCTATCAGCAGTGTGATTGAACTTGGGTCTGCTTATTTTTTCCACATTGAAAATAAATTTAGTTCTTCGCTTTTTCTTAAAAATACTAGTGAAATTTTGGACTGTTTATTATAGGATCACACTAGAAGTTCTAAGATGGGATCCTGTGGGGTTGTGGTTGGCCCTACCATACATGATGAATGTCTGTGCTCTCCACCCAGGTGTGTGGTGAGCAGAAACAGATTATGTGATTGGAAAGGAGAACCCAACAATTAACTGTTGACATTTTAAGATTAATGTTTAAAAAGCTTTACACCTGTTTACAATTTGGAGTTAAAAAGGCTTCATTTTTTTTCTGTTTGATGAAAATTGGCTTAAAATATTTATAGTCAAGAGCAAAACTGCACACTTGCACACTGAAAAGTTCAACACGTTACCTTGATTACAGTACAAATATTTACTGTCCTAAAAAATGAAAATTGAAGACTTAACCAGGCCGATGAATTTTTAAGTGAACCAGTTGTTGAAATTATTGGAATTAACTGAGCCAAAGTGATTATGCATTCTTCATCTATTTAGTTAGCACTTTGTATCATTATATACAGTTTACAATACATGTATAACTTGTAGCTATAAACATTTTGTGCCATTAAAGCTCTCACAAAACTCTATCCGTTTCTCATTTTCAGTGATGTGTTGCATGGGAGTTTAGAGGAGATGGGAACATTTTTATCATTGAGCCTGTGGGAGTGAGTGACACTCCTGCCCTTGAGTGTCCCACACCAGGGAGATAGGCAGCGCATAGTGCAGTTGCTGTGAAAATTGTGTGTGAAGCATAAGACTGTGGCAAGCAGAGCCTTTTTTCTGCCAGATAGTGTCAGGACATTATTTATAGAGGAGGTGACATATTGAAAGACTAGTAAGTGCCCCATAAGTGCAAAAGGGAATTAAGAGCATAGCATGCTTGGGAAGGGAATGGCAGGAACTGACATGTGAAACTGCATTCCAGAAATAGTGTGAAGTTCAGTGTGGCTGGAAACACTTGGCAGAGAGGTCATTCTGCGTTGAACCAAGTTGAAGTGTACGTGGCCTGCTGGGGTGGAACTGAACTGTGTGTAGTCAGCTGGATCCCTTTGGGGGGCTTACTTAAAGCTGGGAAATGGCTGAGGACTTAAGTGTTAGACAGTCCTGAAAGGGAAGCGAAGGCAGAGGCAGGACCTGTCAGTGCTGGAGGTAACAAAGGAGGGACTGTGGGATGGGACAGGTGGGCCCGCCTGGCTGTGAAGGTAGACACAAAGCGGGAGGGAAGATGTGGTTTGTATTTGGCGCTGGTGTCTAGGGGGAGCCTAAGTATAAATTAGCTGAGGAAGTGAGGACAGGAGGAGGAATAGAGTGGTAAGGAGAAAGAAATGATTCCCATGTTTGATACATTGAACCTGGTTTGAACATAACCACTTGCACAGAACTAGAACTCAGGAGAAAGGTCTAGAGTGGAAATGAAACCCTGAGATGCATGTGCAAATATGTTATACAGTGATTAAAGATCTGGACACAGGGAAAGAAGAAAGGAGTTAAAATAACAATGAAGTGTTTACCATTCGAAGATTGAGCAGAGAAGCTCAAAAAACTACATATTGTAGTAGAACAACCCTTCCCCACAGGAAGAGGAGGCGGCAACCAATCCTATCACATTGAGTGGTTACTGAGGGTGAATTGAAGGGAGGCTTTTGAACTTGACAATTGAATCGCTGCTCATCTTTGCAAGAGCATTTCCTGTAGGAGCAAAAGAGGGGACCTGGTAAGACTATAAGTTAATGAATGAGTAGCAAGTGAGAAAGTGTTGGCTTTCCTCAGTAAATTTGGAGTCTAAGAAATGAAAGGGAGGATTTTGAAGAGACAGGATGGTAGGATCATTTACTTAGGCTGAGATGGCTGGAATAAGAGATGCGAGTAAGTTCTCAGGCTAAGGAGAGTGTGCAAAGGACATGTTCAAGCTGTGGGAACAGATGAATAATGGAGTAAGACCTGGGCAGGAGCAGATGTATTTAGGACTTAGAAGGGAAATTAACCTTGGAAAGGAGTAAAGGGACTTTTGGAGCCATTGAAAGTTCACAAAACCCAGATTGAGCATGGGCTGGGAACCAAAGTGTCCCAGGTTCGATTCCCAGCTAGGGTACATTCCTGGGTTGCAGGCCATAACCCCCAGCAACCGCACATTGACATGTCTGTCTCTCTCTCTCCTTCCCTCCCTAAAAATAAATAAATAAAATCTTAAAAAAAAAAATCTCCTTTAAAAAAAAAAAGTTCACAAAACCCAAACAATTATGGTAGGAAATGAAGCATCTAGGGTTTTTTAGTTTTTTTTTTTTTTAAATAATTCTACAGCATAAGTTGTGTCCTGAAAGTCATAGCTTCTTTTTTTTAATGTATTTTATTGATTATGCTATTACAGTTGTCCCATTTCCCCCCTTCTCTCCCCTCCACCCTGTACCCCCTCTCCCACCCACATTCCCTCCTTTAGTTCATGTCCATGTGTCATACTTATGAGTTCTTTAGCTTCTACATTTCCCGTACTATTCTTGCCCTCCCCCTATCTATTTTCAACCTACATTCTATGCTACTTATTCTCTATACCTTTTCCCCCCTCTCCTCCTCCCACCCCCCCTGCTGCTAGCCTTCCATGTGCCCTCCATTTCTGTGGTTCTGTTCCTGTTCTAGTTGTTTACTTAGTTTCTTTTGGTTTTGCTTTAGGTGTGGTTGTTAATAATTGTGAGTTTGCTGTCCTTTTACTATACATGTCTTTTTCTTTATCTTCTTTTCTTAGATAAGTCCCTTTAGCATTTCATAAAATAAGGGCTTGGTGATGATGAACTCCTTTAACTTGACCTTTTCTGAAAAGCGCTTTATCTTCCCTTCCATTCTAAATGAGAGCTTTGCTGGATAGAGCAATCTGGGATGTAGGTCCTTGTCTTTCATGATTTGGAATATTTCTTTCCAGCCCCTTCTTGCCTGTAAGGTCTCTTTGGAGAAATCAGCTGACAGTCTGATGGGAACTCCTTTGTAGGTTACTGTCCCCTTATCTCTTGCTGCTTCTAGGATTCTCTCCTTCGTTTTTACCTTGGCTAATGTAATAATGATGTGCCTTGGTGTGTTTCTTCTTGGGTCCAACTTCTTTGGGACTCTCTGAGCTTCTTGGATTTCTTGGAAGACTGTTCCCTTTGCCAGATTGGGGAAGTTCTCCTTTATTATTTGTTCAAATACGTGCTCAATCTGTTGCTTTTCCTCTTCCCCTTCTGGTACCCCTATAATTTGGATGTTGGAACGTTTAAAGGTGTCCTGGATGCTCTTAAGCTTTTCCTCGATTTTTTGAATTCTTATTTCATCATGCTTTCCTGCTTGGTTGATTCCATCTTCCTTCTGGTCCACTGTATTGTTTTGAGACTCAGATTCCTTCCTTTCACTATTGGCTCTCCTCCGTGTATCTTCCTGCATCTCTTTTATGGTAACCTGCTTCCTTTCATCTAAATTGCGCCCAAAGTCAACCAATTCCGTGAGCTTTCTGATCACCAGTGTTTTGAACTGTGCATCTGATAGATTGGCTATTTCTTGATCGCTCAAAAGGATGAGTCCTGGGGGACTGATCTGTTCTGTTGGATACACGTCTTATGTCTTTCCCTGTCTCTGGTCGCTCTTGTTATGGTGGGGGGGCGGAGCCGTAGGTGTTCACAGGGGCTGAGCACCCTGGTCGCTGGATTGTGACGTTATATGTGTGGGCGGGGGCAGGAGCGGGAGGGGACAATGGCGATAGTTTCGTTCTCCCAGGCTCAGGCCCTTCCTTGGGATCCTGGGCTGTGAGCTCTGCCCTGGTCCACAATCGCTGCCCCACAGGGTCCGCCAGCCGCAGCTTGTGTACTCAGGGATCACCGCTGCGTTCTTGCCCTCCGGATGGCTGTCGCGCCGATTTTGTGCCAAATTTTCCCTGACCTCCACGCGCCGCCGACGTGCACCAGCCCCACGCCCACCCGGCTCGTCATCCCCTACCAGTCTGGATGTACGGGTTTACTTCAACTTCTTGGCTGTCCTACTTCCATTCAGATAAATCCTGTCAGTTCTGAGTGATATTCTGTCTGTAAATTATTGTTGTTCTAATCTTGGTTGTGCGAGGAGGCACGGTGCGTCCACCTATTCCTCCATCTTGCCGGAAGTCTGAAAGTCATAGCTTCTAACTAAAACATTATACTTAATAAAGGGCAATCTGGGAAGAGACCAAATCGGAGGCAAAATCAAAACGCAGGCAGCTTTGTCGGCGTGGCACGGTTCTCTGTATTCAGCAACGCTGGTTATTCTGTGTAGAGACAGATTTTAAGCTCCAGGCTATCCATTTGGGCATCACTAATTTCAGCATCGTGAATACTTATGAAAAAGAAAAGTTCATACACATTTTACCCATTTCTGAATGTTAATTTCGATGTTATATGTGCTTTCATAAATGTTGTAATGTTCCTGCCAAAGGATCCATATTTGAGGGAGGGGGGTGTGATTCAGGGTGAGAATAGCATGAAAAAAACTCAATGTCACTGGTTTCTTCAATGTTGCTGTGTTAGCTGTATAATTTAGTAAGTCACTTCTGGGTGAGGAATGAGGAGCAAGAGGGGAAGAAATATGGAAACACTGAAGGAGCACTAAGCATAGGCCAGATTCAGACTTTTGAGCTCTCACCTTGTTATTATTATTAAATTTATCAGGGTGACATTGGTAAAGAGCGCCTATATTCTTTAATCCTCACAACAATTCATTTGAGGCAGTTGCCTTTTGATTTTACCGGAAATTCCAAATTCAGTAACTGAACCAGGTAAGTCTCTGCCCATGGCTGGGTGGCCCTTCCCTTAAACTTGAACTGTCCTTCAAAGAATGCCCACTTCGTGGTAGCTGGGTCAACTTTTTATTTTTTTTTTGGCAGATGTGACTTCCTAGTCAGAAAAGAAATTACGTGTTAATGCAGTGAACCCAATCTTAAAGGAATTCCCTACATCAACTAATGCAGTGTTTTCCAAACTTTGGTTTAACATTCATGGTGTTTGCCATTTAAATGGCAGGTGGATGAAGTTTTAAAACTATTCTGTGTAAGAGATCTTCGTTCCACCAAAGCAGCTATGACCCTTTTGTTTCACACATTCTTTTTATTCTCACCCCAGGACGTGCTTACTGATTTTAGAGAGAAGGGAAAGGAGAGAAAGGAAGTGAAACATGGATTGATTGACTTCCACTTATTTCAACCAGTAATAGAACCCGTGACCTTTCTGTTTATGGGACGATGCTTCAGCTGCTGAGCCATACCAGCCAGGGCTATTTCATGCACTCTTCTTCTTTTTAAAAAAATATTTTATTTATTTATTTATATTTACAGGGGAAAGGAAGGAGAAAGAGAGGGAGAGAAACATCAGTGTGTGCTTGCCTCTCACATGCCCCCTACTGGGGACCTGGCCTGCAATCCCAGCATGTGTTCTGACTGGGAATCAAACCGGCAACCTTTTGGTTTGTAGGCCAGAGCTCAATCCACTGAGCCACACCAGCCAAGGCTTCATGCATTCTTTTAAGCAGTAGACATTCACTGTGTACGCATTGCATGCCAGGGACTTTTCTGGGACACCAGATTTATAGCTGTTGTATT